AAAAGGGCCCAGTGCACATACAGTACACACACACACCTCCCATGCTTCTTAAGAGGGCTGCTATAGAACCCATGGACACCACATGTGAAACAAATATCTATTTGATATTCCAAGATTACAACTTAATGAAAGCAGAAATGCCATACAAATAATAGGTCCTAAATTGTGGAATGACCTCTCAAATGCAATAAATTGCTGTACACCTCTTAACCAATTTAAAAAGAGACAACAAGGACTACCTAATTAACATCATTTAGCATAATTCTTACACATTTTTTCATCCTAAATAAGGCAATTTGTGTTTGCAGTTACTCTATTGTGAATATTAAATACTGTATCTGTAATAATATTATACAGGTAGTTACCTTTAAAGCTTCAGAATCTAAATTAAAGTAGTATATGCCTTTGATAAGTATCACTTTAACCCCTGTACATCTCACTTTTATAATGTGACAACCCTGTGGTGTGAAAAAAATTTATGAAAAATATTTTGTTCTTTTGACACTTAATTAACATCCAGGAAGCATGAAAATCCCAGCAAAAAATCTTTTATAACTAAACTAGTTTAATTTTATATAAGTAAAAACATTAAAAAATATATAGTTTATATATTTTAAAATTACTATGATTCATGTACAGTACAGCACATATAATGTTTGCCTGGAACATATTTTTTAAACATATACTGTATTGTATAATCCTTTCAGAATGTTGCCAGAAAGTGCACGGTGGTCGGTGTGTCGAGGTCGTATCCATGAAGCCACTATAATATTAAAGAAGTCACATCATATGTCCTTTGACCCTACTATGAAGAACAAGCTATCAGCTCTTCATAAAGAGGTTTGTTGTTATAGTAGTCTGTGCCCAAGAAGTTGATGAAAATTACATGCCCCATAAGAAAATAGAAATACGTACAGTGAAATTTCATTATTTACCGTACTTGTAATAATTTTCTTTAGTTTTGGTGAAAATGTTGTACTACTTTAATTTTGGGCTGTCTAGAGAGGGAGAGAGTGCACATAAGGAAATAGGTAGGTTTGGACAAAGCCAGACACCTTGTGAGGAGATATAAAGCATCATGGGCATCTAAAACACCTGTTCTTTCTTCAACCCTCCTTAGGTTGTTAAAGTAAGAAGCTAATAATAGTTTTCTAGGTTGATAATTAATGTTAGTGATGTATTTTAGATTCTATAGCTTTTGTGGTAATTATGTTTAAATTTGTGAGAATTGTTATAATACTATAGTATATATACAGTATTTGAGAGATAAAAATAACAGCAAAAGCATTTGGCTTATTTAGGATGAAGGCTCTATAGATCATTATATTTGTTGAGATAGATATATGTACTTGTTTCTTGAGAGGTGTGTATGAGTACTTCATCAGCTCTCTACAATGCCCATGAGATCGGGATTGGTATTGCTCATTAGAATTTTTAAGACATAGAAACTTGCCCAACCATTGCTTTTCCACCCATGGATCAAACACAGGATATTCAGCTGTAAGCCGAGGACATAGACCATTGCATTAAATTCTCATCTTCTAACATTTGGATTCCATAATTAGATTTAAACATTTGATGATAACATGAGTACACTGTATTTGGTAAAAAACACATTTGAACCCTATTGGGACAAATACAAAAATAAAAAAAATTATGCCATATATTAGGCCAGCATGGGGAATAATGGGTAGTGTATTAAAAATATAAAAATATGTATACGATGCTATATATAATACACTGTTCTCTTTTCATCTTTCCTCAGCACAAGCAATCACTAGCCCAATATAATTGTTCTGGGCATGCTTTACGAGAGAGCTTGCAACCTCTGGTGAAGTCTGGACGACTCTTCCTAGTGTTTTTTGTGTTTCTTATATGCGGTTTAGCACTTGGATGTGCTGCTAGTGCCCGCCACCTTTTTGATCCTACTCCCTACAACAGGTAGCATGATAATACATTTATCTGTTTTTGTATTATACAAATCATAGAGAAAATATTAACGTTATTTTGTGTTATCTAACTTAGGATTCTTTAAAATTCAAGGTCACTACCCATCACTGGGTTGTGGATGGTCATTAGCAGGGGTCACCACTAGGGTTAAGGCAACTAGATGAAAACTCATATTAATTAAGTAAGGGTGAGTCTGAGAGGCCTGGAACATCTCCATAAGGCATAGCTGGATCCGTACTTAACTGGAGCTACTGAGAGGATCCTCCCTGGGATTCTACTAAATCTACAGAAAGTTTGGAGGCCTCTACTGAAGCCAGTCCAATTGATTTTCTCATTGATATATCACATTAATTTGATTTCTTTGTGTGTCTGAAGCTGGAGCATATGGTTGATGAACTACTTTACCTACACCAGAGTGCATGGGGGGGGGGGGGTTATATATAAAACTTGGATTGGCTTCAGTAGAGGACTCAAGACTTCCTGGGGATTCAGTGGAATCCCAGGTTTAATAACTTATAACATGTCGTGGTGCGGGGGTAATGCGTGCAGCTGTGGGTACCCTGATCACTGGTTCGAGTCACCTCATTGTTCCATTGATTTTCTTAATAATAATAATAATAATAATAATAATAATAATAATAATAATAATAATAATAATAATAATAATAATAATAATAATAATAAAAATATAATTTCAGATTAAAAGTATAGTCGTCAACAGTGCAACTTAAAAATAAATTTTGCCATATGATAATAGAATTCTTAAAAATACAGAAAGATTAAGCTAATATAACAACATTTAAAAGTTCAGAATAGAGATCTAAACGTTCAAATACGTACTGTATAGTATTTGACTACAAAAATACAAAGTTTGCAAAAAATATATACAGGGAATGCATACATTCATCTGTACTGTATGGGTCTCGAACCGTGGACCCCACGCGTATGAAGCCGTAGCACTATCAACTCGGCTATGAGTAGTCTTTAAAAAGGAAAGTTTTCAGAAGCAGCATCCTTTTGTGGGGGTCCACGGTTCGAGACCCATACAGTCCAGGTGAATGGAATGTTTATTTCCATGGAAGTGTGGATGGCAATTTATATACAGGTACTGTATATATAAAATAAATATAAATAAATAAATAAATTTGTATTAAATACAATCTGGAGGCTGTAGTATCCTTCATTTTTTTAAAAGTACCTTGCCCAACTTCTTCTTACGTCCAAATCCTTACCACTCTTCTCTTCAAAATGACTGAGTGATTCTTATGGTTACACAACTTAATTTTTAGTACTACAGAGTACAATATATATTATTGTTACTTGCAGTTTTGAAGATCGACAAGTGGCATTTGGAGCAGTTGAATTCATATCGTTGTTACTCATGGGACTGATAGTTACACGTCTCCATGTTAAGTGGGTTTTAGTCTCACTTATGTCAATTCTCTCTGTTGCTCTACTTTTAACTCCAGTACTTAAACAAGGTTAGTTCACTTAATTTTGTTTATTTTTGTTTACTTTAATACTCAATACATTTAATGCAGGATGCTCTACTACAGCATACTATATGTGCAGTATATATGTTTTACAGATATTCTGTAAGGGAAATTGCATTAAATTATTTACCATAGTTTCTTTGTGCTTTTGCCATGCATTAATCAAAGCTATCTGAACAGCTTCACTAGACACTTGTGGAGGATTTGTCTTCTTCTCCTGCCTTGGTCATACCTCTGTCGTCCTTGCCAGTGTGTGGATGAGTGTTGGAGTTATACGCCTTACTCCCACACACTCCAGAGGACTTGTCCTTGGCTCAACATTTTGCATGGCAACACTTGGTCATGCTCTTGTACATCTGGATCTAGTGTCAATATTTGTAAGTATATGACATAATTTGAATGTTTTATCATTTTCTTTCAATATCTGTTTGTATCATCATGATTAAATATAATACAAAGAGAAATTGAAGTACTGTACCTTGTAATTTGAGAAGTAACATAATTACTGTATATCATTTTAAGTACAGGGTAAGTACTTTTAGGAATCTGCAATACTTATTTTGCAAACTTTGTCTATTTACTTAACCATTCTTGTAAATAAGGGTTGACGTTGAAAATCCTGATAGATCTGCAACATGATGTGAATTAAAAAGTACAGTTAACAGTGGCACAGTAATAGCCTATTCCCTTTTATATTCATTTTAATTCTGTATACAGGTATGATTTTTATAGCAATCTGACCTTTTATTTCTAGCTTTCATATGGGTTGTACTTAGACGAGTATGCGGAGCTGGGTATATGGGCAATAGTAACATTTGTGGCTGGCTTGTTGGCGCTTCTGCTACCAAAGACTCCTTCAAGCTTACCTGACACCCTTTCGCATATTATGCTGAAGCCAGTTCGGTGAGTATATAATCTAAGTTATTAATTTTAATGTATATTCATAATATATATATATACAGTATTATACATAATATATTTACAGTGTTATATATATATTTATTGCTTAGAAATATTGCAGACTCATTATAATGTGTTTTTAATATATATTTTATAGTTTTACCCTTGAAAATGGAAAGTAAAGTCTTAGCACTTCCAAACCCTCTCAGGTCCTTTATCAAAGGCAAATGATAAAGGACCCAAGAGGGTTTGAAAGCTTTAAGGCTTTACTTCCCATTTTCATGTATCGTATAGTTATCTTGCATGCATAAATAAGTGCAGAGATTTGAGTCACAATAATGTGGATGAAAACAAATATCCCAATCTACATATTTTTGGAAACAGCAGAATACTAGAATGGATAAAACAATGGTAGGTTAAAACAAAGAAAACAAAGAGTGGTGCTAAATGAGAATGAATTTGACCGGATTAATGAGGTAAGTGGGGTACCTCAGGGGTCAATTTTGGGGCCAACCCTTTTAGTCATATACATCAATGACATAGATGAGAATATTACAAACCACATCATCAAACTTGCAGACGACACAAAGATTTATGATAAAGTGGGAAGTGATGATAATGTTGAAGCCTTACAAAGAGATTGATTTGCAGGAACTCCACAAATGGTCAAATGACTGGCAAGTGCTTTTTAATACAGTATTGACAAATGCAAGACCCTGCATGTGGGGCATAATAACCCACGCCACAACTACCAAATTAACAACATTACATTACAGCAGATTCAGGAAGAAGAGGATCTTGGAGTCAAAATCCACTTCTCAATGAAGGTTGCACAGCAGGTAGGGGCAGTAGTCAAAAAAGCTAACCAAACACTTGGAATAATCAAGCGTACCCAACATTAGATTACTGTATCCAAGCATGGAGACCTCATCTTCAGAAGGATATAGCTGCTCTGGAAAAAGTGCAACACCGGGCAACAAAAATAATTCCCGAGCTAAGTCAACTCACATATCAGGAACGGTGGAGGGCCACAAGGCTAACAACACTAAAAACCAGGCATGACATGATAGATATTACTGAAACTTTTAAAATACTGTACTGAACAACTTGGGGGGGATGTTGATCTGGAAAAGTTCTTCAAAAGGTCAGATGTAACACAAACAAGGAACAACGGTTTCAAGCTCAACAAGCCACAATGTAGGACTGAGAACAGGAGAGGTTTTTTCACCCACAGGGTTATTAACCCTTGGAACCGCCTACCCATCGAAGCCTTAAATGCCAAAACTCTGCTCACGTTTAAAGTACAGCTGAAAAAGATCATCAAGGCAAATGGGGGACCATTGACAAGCCACCAGCTTCCTGTTCTTGTCGAGACCACTAGTGTTAGTGGCTCTCAGGTAAACCACTAGCTTGGGACATTTATAACTTAGTATATTGGCTTTAAATGTATACTCCAGACAAGGTAAAACAACTGCTGTTAACAGATGTAATCATCACAAGAACAGCATTAATACAAACATGTAACTATAATGTAAGTACAATAACACCTCTGTTAAGATGTGTATCAAGAGAGGACAAAAGTACAATAGATAAATTTGCATTCATGAACTACAGTAATATAGAGTTTATCTAAGATATAATATAATCAAAGTCATTTTATAGTAGTGTGTGAATTAGTTAGAAATATAGTGTGCATTTTTCTTAATTGTTGTTATGTCTTTAAAGTCCAGTATGTATGGAGTAGAATGGAAGGGTTAATACTGGGCTGTGAAGTCTCTTGCATCTTGTGAGTGTCTCCTGCAATAAGAGGAAGTCTCCTGTAGGGGTTCTTTATCCTGCTTGCAGGTACTGAAATTTCCTGGTTTTAGTTTGTTTTCCTCCTCAGCAGCTGTTTGGTTTGCAAGGGACATAAATATAACCTTAGAACAGCTATGGCTATCTGTGGCATGCATTTTTTTGTCTACAAAATCTCTAAGTCTGCAAACTCTTGGTGGTTAAGGATCTCAAGTTATCATTATGACTGAAATGAAGCATTTAATTTATAAAATTTTTGCCATCAAAAGGCTACTCAAGGCTTTATATACAATACAGTATATTATTAAACTTGTCACTGGAATATGGTGATGAAGGATTCATCTCGTGTATATCCTCAAAACATAACTAAAGGAGATCTCATAGGATGGTTTTTAAGAAAGTTACAAATTACAATTTATGGAGCTATATTTGTTCAGTACTAAGGACCACCATCTCTACTGACCTTGCTGGAGACAGGTAGGCAGTTTGTTGTCAAAGGTTCTCCCATTATTCCTAAAGAATTTTTATAGTTGTATTTTGAACTGTAGCACTGCCTTAGTATTTATGACTAAGACAGGTAGGCAATTTCATGAGTTCATAATTCAATGGTTGGAAAAGAAGCTCATCATGGCTGTCATACATTGTTGTCTTTTGTCCCTAGTGAGTTACAGTGGATTAATGTCTTAATTTGTTCAATATTTTAACTGTTTTAATGAGATTGGCCCTACCATGTCTTGTTTGCAGAGTAGTTGGTCCTGAAGCTTTTCCTATTAAGTGAGTTGACTTTGTTTTGGGATAGTAGTTGTCCTTATGTTCTGAGCCTTTTTCCAGCACAGTTATGCCATTTTAAAGGTTGGGTCTCCATGTTTGGATATAATAGTCCAGATGGGGCACCCAAGGATTTGTATAGTTAACTGGACACTTTCTTTTCTCTGAAATCAAAGGGTCATTTGTTTCTAGGGATTGGTTAGCATTTTTTACTACAACTCTTATTTGCTGAGCAGTTTCAAGGACTCGTGGATAATTACTTCAAATTCTTTTCTTCAATCTGTTGCAAGGTTGTGTTCTTGATATAGTAGTTGTGATGTGTATTCTAATTCCCAGCATTTAAGGTCTTGCATTTTTCAATATTGAAGAGCATTTGCCAGTCGTCTGACTACTTACGGAGTTTATATACCTGTACTGTATATCCTTTCACATGGCCTTAGTATAATTTTTGCTTTCTACTTTCTCACTGATCTTTGTGTCATCTACAACTTTGATGGTGTGGTTTATGATGGTCATCTATGACCCTGATGTATATTGCAAAAGGGTTGGTTCCCAAAATAGAACAATGTACTACTCCGGTCAATATTTTTCCAGTCCGATTCTCTTCTATTTTAGATGACCCTTTTATTTCTTTATTTATATCATTGTTTTATCCATTTCAATATTTTACCACCGATTCCATATGCTTATAGTTTCTGGCCCAATCTTTTATGTGGCCCCATATCAAATCTTTGAGAAGTTCAGGTATACTACATTGACTAGAAATCCTTTGCCTTGTGTAGTAGGTTGTATGTATGTATGTGTATGTATGTATGTATGTATGTATGTATGTATGTATGTATGTATGTATGTATGTGTGTGTGTGTGTGTGTGTGTGTATGTATGTATGTATGTACAGTACTACCATGGGTGTGGTGTAGTGGATGATGTACTACCATGGGTGTGGGGCAGTGAATGTACTACTACGGGTGTAGTGCAGTGGATGATGTGTACATCAGTCATTCAGCAGGGGTCAGTGCTGGTGTGTCTGGCATTACAAAATTCCAGTACCAAATTATAAACAAGGATTTAGGTACTGAAGTTCTCAGTGTATCTATATACAGTGTATCATATCTATACGTATGTAGATACAGTACACCGTATCTATATGTATCTATATATCTATATACTGTACTCAAATCGATACAATGCAAGTGCTGTATATCGATTTAAGTTTTTTTAATCTGGCAGAAATGAAGAAAGGCTAAGATAAAAAGATTATATTTACTATATATATTTAATATTTATATAGTAAATATATTTACTATATATATTTAATATTTACCTGAATTTACCTTACAGCCACCAGTGGCATTGACATGGACTATAGTTTTTCAAAGGTTACCCCATAATTTATATGGATTTTCTCCAGCTGAATTTTAAACTAAAGTACTGGGTTGTCTTGGCATTTATGGCTTTGGCTGGTAGGTGATTCCTTGGGCTTATTATCCTACAGATAAAAAGCAGCTAATGTTTTCTGTCCTACATTGTGGTTTGTTGAGTTTTAAACTTTTATTATATAGTTTATGAAACTAAATTTATGTAGTACTTTTTTATAAGGTGTCATGCATTAATAGTTAGTAGTATTAATATTTCAGTGCTTCAATTAAATTAGTGAGGGAATTTTGCATCATTCAAGTTAATAAAAAAATATTAGGTGTGGCACTAGAAAAGTCACTAGTAAGCAAATCCACAAGGGCCGTGATGAGGATTCGAACCTGTGTCTGAGAGCATCCCAGATGCTGCCTTAATCGACTGAGCTACGACATGGTCAAAAGGAACGAACAGCTTATTGACATAGCTCGAGTACATGGGGGGGAGTTGTGTAAAACCCTGGTTTGTGCCTCGGAGAGGCTGCAGCATCCAATAAGTTCAGTAGAACTTTGGTTTCAACTCCTTTTGACAGTGTCGTAGCTCAGTCGATTAATGCAGCGTCTGGGATGTTCTCGGACGCAGGTTCGAATCCTCGTCACGGCCCTTGTGGATTTGTTCATTTGATGCATCACGCAATTGTGATTTCTGTGTGTAAAGTCACTAGTACTCAGAATACAGAAGTTCAACAAAATTATGACATGTTCTTGATATAGTCTAAGTTTTACATCAGATCAAAAAATGCACGTTGAAAGAATAGAAATAAACAGATAATAAAAAAGAGTAGAGAAATTGCAACATTTAGGAATGGATGAAAGAAATCTAAAATTAGTGCACTGCCAGTGTTATAACCTAATTGTATATTAGTTACAGGAAGCGAGGTATTGTTGTGGTGGCCCATTTATATATTTAATCATAGCAGGCCTTTGAATTTTCTGTTTTTTGGCACACAACCACTTCCTGAAATTTCTTCTACCCATCTACCACTCTGCAAGAAACAGTTTTTTTATATTCTTTCTATGTCTATGATTCTGTAGCTCATATCTCAGGCCTTTCAAAGCCTGACTATTTTATGTCAGCTGACAAAGGGTCCTGGTTTCTTTGGCTATCCCTGACCATGGTAAAATAAGAGCTAGTGGTGCATATGATTTCTGTCTTTCTACCCTCCAGTTTTGGCATACTTAGACTTACAGCATTTCTATATAGTTTCTGTTTTTTTTAGCTCTTTTAAGCTATTTTATTCCTCTGAAAATGAAGATTTGATCACTTTTTTCCATCCTGAACCAGGATGGACAGAAACATTATCAATTATTAATTCTTAGATTTGTAGTGTTAGGTGTTTTTTCCCAGGATTTTTGCATTTTTTTGTGAACATGTTCCTGTAGTTTTACATCCTTTTGATGTCATTTCTATTCACTAAGGTGTACTCCCAATCGAGAGATTTAGGACTGATCCCTTCCTTTAGAACAAAATTTCAGTTGCAGCCAATATTGCTGTGGACTTGACCATTTTGTTTTTTTTACCCAAAACAATGCAACATGCAATTATTCACATTTTAACACAGTGTTATCAGGACCATGTTGTAATACAGTTTTAGAATTACAAATGCAATACATCACTGTACATGGGAAAATAATATTTTGACCTTTTGGAATGAAGCTCTACTTGCCTTGCATCTTTATACTGTACTAAAGGAATTTGCATACACTGTGTATGGCTATTGTATTCTGTATTGTATTAGGAATAATACTTGTATCAAAGCTATACTCCTTCACCAAGGTTGATTTATTATTTACTCATATACAGGTACAGTACAATGAATTTTAATTTAAAAACCTCCTCTTCCTGCTCAATAACACTCCTTGAGCCTCTGAGGATGACCCAGTGACTCTTGCTCTTATCTTCATGTTTGTCAAAAAACTCACTTGCAATCTTCCAATTATCCCTGTTTCATTTTCCAAAATAAGCGCCTTGCTTGTATTATTTATCATGGTTTTATTTTCTAAATGGTCCACCCACTTTGCTCTGATTGTCATTTCTAAGACTTTTGCTATTGCACTACTGTATTAATGATACCAGCCTATAATTCAAGGGTTCTTATCATTAGCATTTCAGTCCTTCACCTGCATTATCTCCTTAGCTTTCTGAGGCATTATTCTCATTGCTTTGTACTGGTAAACATAATTATTAAGTCAGCATTTCTTTTTTCATATTTTTCCAGTTCTCCTCAAGTCAGTTGTAGGCTTCCTGCTGTTTAGCTCCTCAACATGCATCATAATTTTGTGAATGTCTGTATGTATATGTGTGTGTATGTGAGTGTAAATGTACATAGATAACTATAATATATATACATGCCAAATGTCAATATATATACATGTCAAAGATATTATATGCTGCACCTAGAAGATTTATAAATTTTAATTGTTGTTTGAATAATAAAGTACCTGTGTTAAAGAACCAAGTGCAAGTGTTATGTTTTAGTTGCAGCTGTATTGTAAAGTGGTTGTTGGTTGTTGTTCCTGAACTTAAGTACTGTATGGTGAAAATATATT